ACAGTGGCTTGATTCCACTGGGACATGTGAGAAGTCCAGAGATTGCCTTCCAGAATTTTTAAATTGAAGAATGAGGAAGGATGTCTATGCACTGAATTCCAGCCTCCATTGATTAGGGGTTACCTAAGGGTTTTAGCTAGTCCCCACATCTTAGATGTGCTTGCATGTGGACTGAGCAGGCTACTACTGACTTCCCAGAGGGTCTTAGGCTTCAGAGAAGGACTGGGACATTTAGTGGAGACATTAGTGGTTAACTCTTGAAGCGGGAAACTGACAACATGAGTTATAACCATCCATATATGCTCTTAAAATCATAATTGAGGCAAGAGCATGTGATATAGGTATCAAGTGTGTGCAACATCTCCCTACCCACACCACCTTATCCAAAGGTTATGGAAGGGACAATGCCACTCCAACAATTCATTCTATAAATAAGTCCACTCTAGAAATTACTCCCCTATACATATGCTCTAATATGTCTTTGAACTGCATAATTAGTGAAATATTGTTGGACTGATCTTATTTTTTGTCTTTTTTGGAGGGCGGGGTGGGTGAGATCACACTGAGCAAGCCCTGACTTGGTGTTCTTCATCAATGTTGTCTTAGATCAGTTCTCCTAGAAACAGATCCTGAGAAGGTTTGTTTTAAAGTGATTTATTAAGGAAATGCTCCCAGGAGAAACTGGTGAGGGAGTCAGGGACGCAGGACAGGGAAAGGGAAGAAAGCAAATAAGGGTGCAATTACAGGAAAAGTCCTGGTTCTCCAGTGAATATTATTTATATAGTTGTAACAGTATAAAGACTTATTTACTTTAATATTTTGTAATCAATATATAAAATTTATAAAACAATTTTAATTACAGAATGCAGTGCCAAGGTAGAGGGGACTGAAATATGGAAGCCAATTTTGGGAAAAGAGCTGCAAAGAAGTGTAGGTGTACAGATATCTTTATCCTCATAAAGTAGGGGGTCATAAGATATTTTCTATAAAGTAAAACAATTAAATGTGAAATGTATATTACATAAAGTTTCAAAGTTTTAGAAAATCAAAATATGATTATATTGAAAGGATAGAAAGAATGGAAGACGTGTGTATTTATGTGAATGGTGGAAGTGTACAGAATGTCAATAGATGAATATATAAAAATTCTGGATCAATAAAAAAGGTATAAACTGTAGAAATAAAAGCTTTAAATTCCAAGTTATTTAACTTAGCTTTGATTAAAATTAGAGTTACAACCAGAAGACTTATAATAATAGCTGGAAACTTGAAAGATTTAGAAACTGAATTTTTAAGTAACATAGACTAAGATGACAATGAACTTAGTTAACCATAAAATCTTGTTATAGAGATATGGGTAAAATGTTGGAAAAAATATGTATGATAGTCAATTAAAGAAACTAAAAACATGGTTTTTTGGGGCGTAAGATTTATATTTATCCTCTACTTCGCTAGAATGAAATTGAGTTGCTTATTAGTAATAAACTCACTTGTGAGATTCCACTTTAAATCTATCTGCTTATTGTTATGTAACTTTCAAGATACCACCACATTCTATTGCCTGTTAGCTGTGAGAAATGATTAATTTTTATCTTTGCAATAATATATTAAATTAAAATTTACTCTCTTTTTTGGTATTTAACTCATTGATTATTCTGTTCTGACTTTGTTATAATAAATTCAACAAGTAATATCTGTAATGATCTTCTCAGACTTGGAAAAACCACTGATTTTCTCCTTGTATGAATTATTTTCAAATTAAATAAATAGTTGAAAACTAGCAGGAACACAGAGAGAAATTCTAGTTTTTCTTCAATAAAGCACATTATTTACAGATACTGAGGCATCTTAATCTTGAAAGAGTCAAGAGTGGTTCCCTGTTGGGAAGTGGACTTTGGACTTTTAAAGAATGGGGAAAGTATCATTGTTTTCTCTATGAGCCATTTTAACTACATGCATGTAATTATTTGATAGCACTAAAAATGAATAATACTAAAAATTTTAAATTAATAGCTCATTCTCACTGTTGTGCAGAAGACCAATCGTACATATAAGAAAATCAATTAGTACAACTATGGCAGGTTTGAGATAGAGAGAAATGGACACATTAGGTAGGAATATAGGAGGTAAGATCAACAGGAGTTGGTCATTGGTGAGCATAGGAGAGGAAATTAGGATCCTGAGTACTGACCTAGTGCTCGGCGCCAGACTGTAGGGCTAGTCAGTTTTAGGAAAATAGGCAGTGTTGAGGGTGGAGAGAGGAAACTATGAATCAGAGACTAGTTGGGAACCAGTGGTCATCACTTAGCATTTAGGTCTTGAAGCTGACTAGACGACAGCAGTAATGAGGAGTACACATTCCAGTATTCACTCTGATCTGAATTTTAAAGGTGGATTTAATTCAACCAGTTGAGAACATTTGGACAGCTGTCTTAAAGTAAGCCTCAGTCCTCTGTCTGTAAAATTAGGATAATGAGAATACTTAGCTCACTAAATTATTGTGAGGATTAAATAAGAAAATGTAAGTAAAGTGTTAAGCGTGGTGCTTGGCAAAGAGTAAGGTCTGAATGAAAGTTGGTTGGTATTATTAGTGCAAAGACCATTTAAGGGCGCATCAGGAGGGTGAGCTAGAATTTTCTATAACTAGAATTAGTGAGAGAATTAGATTGAGTCCTCAGGTTGAAGATAGCTGTTTCTCCCACCATCCATATAATCAAATAAGCCACTAGCCAATAATCATCACTTTGAGGCTTGTAGACTAAGTCTGATCGGGAAGTCATCCAAAGCTCTTTTTATTTCACAGTTCTCTATTGACACAACTTTAAAGATATTTATTTTATACTTTTTGCTAAAAAAATATACACATCTTAAATAAATGTGTTATTTAAAATTCAACTTTACATGGCATTCCACTCCATTCTGCAAGGCACCTAATGGAGTGCCTTACATATGCCACGTAAAACACTTATGAAATGGACACATAAAATGAATGAAGCTGAGGTTACTTTTTTATATGTAAAGTTTAGTGTCCTTAACCTGAAATATCAAAGTAAACTTAGAACTGATATTTAGCTATGAGATAATATATTATATTATACCACAACAATTATCAAATGAAAGTGCGCCAACACCTAGATAAAAAGAAAAAAACTGACCACTTGAGAATTGACAAAACCCTTCAAGATTAGTTATGTTTGTGTGAAGTGAACTGCCCAATATTCGCTTGAGAATGTGTAATGATCCCCAGTGATTTTGAATTCACAACTGAATCTTTAGAATCTTCAGAGATTTATACTCAAATGCAAACAATAATAAGATAGCATGGCTGCTATATAACAATGACTTTGAATTTATTGCTGTCAGATGAATGCATTCTTATTTCAAACGGTAAGATTTTGGCTTTTGTGAGTTAATCTGACGTACTGATCCTCGTTTACCATTTGAGAAGAATTTGGTCTCTAAAGTTTTATCTGTACTCTCAGGCCATAGTTGAGAAACAGTGCAGATGTAATTCACCATCAGCTAGCAAGTAAAGCTAGCTGAATTAGCTTGTTTTCAGTCTATTCAGTGTGTATAAACAAGCACAATTCAAGGTGCCAGCATCCTCATTTTTTCACCTATAAGACCAGAAACTCACATGATATTTCAATATTTTCTAAACTTGGCACTCAGTCACAATGTTAATAAATTCAGTAGCTTTGAGATGCGTTGAGGATTTACGATTAGTAAATATCTTGTGGAAAGACTTCGTTTGTTTATTGTTTTGAATGTTTTAGCTTACAGGCAACCAGATACGTGGGACAAAGTCAGGAATGTAAGGTCAGAACACTTGGAGATGAGGTTTAACCTGGCCACTCTCTGGGTGAACTTCAGTAAACTTAACTTTTTAGGCTGGAACTTTGTTCAGCTATGTATTATATTGAAACTAATATTATTTCATTCTGTTATACTCCAATTAGAAAACAGTGTTACATTAAGAAATGATTTGATTTATTCAAATAAATGTACTCTAATTATGTCTTAGATATTAATGACATAATGTTTTGCATAGTAAATGGATTGGTATTTCAAACTACTTGACAAAACAATATTTTAATTGTAAATATTAAACCTCTGTAACAAATTTTGAATAGATGACTTCATTCATAACTTTAATTTGAAATTCTTTTCTATTTCTTCTTTGTCCTATGGAGAAAATTGTATTTCTCCTTTTAAAAAACATTCTTATTTTACTGATAGAAATTGTAAACTTTGTGATTAACTAGGCACTTCTTTTATACATTAGCTATCAGAAAGTAGAGAATAATTTGCTGTCCACCCATTTCCAAGAGACTCAACTTTACCATAAGTATTATTTAGTTTCATTTATAACATAATTCCTACAGAAATGGACTGGATTCAAGCTGCCTTGGATTCACATCTTGATTCCACCACTTGCTACATAAATTTAGATAGATAAATTACTTAACATTGTCAGTTTCTTCATTTATAAATAAAATAAAACTACTCGATATTATTACATGGAAATTAAAATAAAACTACAGGTATAAAACTCTTAACCCTGTGCCTGCAATTTAGTGATCATTCAATAAATGTTAGCTATTACCCAAGTCTCCATTACATAATCCTATATTTATATATTTTTTGTTATACTTATCATTTTATTTTGTTATTCTCATAATGCTTATATTTTTCAATCTTTATATTTAAAGGCAATTTAAGAACATTTTATAAGTATATAACACAAAAAAGATATACATTATCTGAAGTAGATTTTCTAGTGTTTCTACTAAAAGCAATTTTTAAAATATAGAAGACTCACTACACATAAATATATAAACTCTAGACTCTGAAGTAAAAGAAAAGTCCAAACGCAGCTTGAATTATTTGTTCATAATAGTGTCTATGTGTATTAATGAAAATGAAACCATCAAATTTACAACTTCTTTTATATAATGTTTCATTGCAGGTTCATTTTGGTAGCAGGTACATTTTGTGTCATGGATGCCTTGGGCGATGGGAACCACACTTCAACGACAGGGTTCATTTTATTGGGCTTAACTAATGACCCGATCCTTCGAATCATTCTCTTCATGATCATACTGTGTATCTACCTGGTGACCATATCTGGCAATCTCAGCGCGATCATTCTTATCAGAATCTCTTCTCAGCTCCATCATCCTATGTATTTTTTTCTGAGCCACTTGGCTTTGGCTGACATAGGCTATTCATCATCTGTCACACCCAATATGCTCGTAAACTTCCTGGTGGGAAGAAATACCATCTCCTATTTTGGATGTGCCACCCAGCTTGGTTCAGTTGTTTTCTTTGGGACAGCTGAGTTCTTCCTCCTGGCTGCCATGGCATATGATCGCTTTGTGGCAATTTGCAGCCCACTGCTTTATTCCACCAAAATGTCCACAGAAGTTTGTGTCCAGTTACTTGTAGTGGCTTATATAGGTGGTTTTCTCAATGCTTGCTCTTTTACTATTTGCTTTTATTCTTTAGTCTTTTGTGGACCAAATCGAGTCAATCATTTTTTCTGTGATTTTGCTCCTTTAGTTGAACTCTCCTGTTCTGATATCAGTATTCCTGCAGTTGTCCCCTCAGTTACTGCTGGCTCCGTCACTGTAGCCACAGTGTTTGTCATAGTCATCTCCTACATCTACATCCTTATCACAATCCTGAAGATGCGCTCCACCGAAGGGCGCCACAAGGCCTTCTCCACCTGTACCTCTCACCTCACAGTGGTCACTCTGTTCTATGGGACCATCACATACATTTATGTGGTGCCCAAGTCCAGCTACTCAACTGACCAGAACAAGGTTGTGTCCGTGTTCTACATGGTAGTGATCCCCACGTTGAACCCCCTCATCTACAGCCTCAGGAACAATGAGATTAAGGGGGCTCTGAAGAGAGAGCTTGCTAGAAAAATATTTTCTTAATTAATCTGTTATTTAATGTAATAATATACAATAAACATAATAATAGGACAAAGAGCGTCTGTGGTAGAAATACATCGGTCCATGTGTCATTAGTCAATGTGGAGAATTTTAGTAAAGGTAGGGAGTGGTTTTTCTGAGATCAAACTTTAAGTCAGAGGCCCAATTAGTAAGACAAATTGGTTAATATGAAAGAATACTTAATATGCTGAAAATTATTTTATAATTTTTTTCATTTCAAAAGTAGCTCTCTGCCATCTGTTAAGATAAATGTACCTCCAAACCTTTAAGACTATGTCCATTTTTAACTGCAGTTTATCCTGAAGTGAGTGTGATAATTATAGTTATGACTGAGTACATTCTAAGGGGAATTGACCAAGTGGAACCAGACAGTAAAATTACTGGAGACATTCTTCTTGCAGAAAGCTTATCTGCTGGCAATGGGCTTTCTGGACCCGTAAATTCTGGTCTGTGTTCCTGGTCTCTTGCTCCAGCCTAGTAAGGGGAGAACTCATAAAAGAATGGGATGAAATACCCCTGATCAAACTGTGAAGTTTCCTCTCAGGTCAAAACAGGTGACTTCCCCATGGGAATGAGAAGGGTTCCTGAACTCCTCGGGGGTTGAATGAACAAACTCTTGGAGTGACTTGTTCATGGTCAGACTCACACATCCTGTTAAGAAAGCTTGAGGGAACTGCGTGGTGTTTACTCTGTGAAGCTTAATTTACCTCTATATCCTGATGACCACCACATTTGTTTCTCATTCGCTGTCCTCTGTTTAGTGTTTTAGACAAAAATATTTTTGACTAATGAAACTCAAGCACAAATTGCCTAAAACTAAATTAATTTTCTCCTTCTACCACCAACTTGCTCCCCTCAGTGTTCTGTACCCAGTAAGAAGCACCATTATTCAATCAATTCATTGATTCAGAAACGGAGAGAAATTTATTTTTTCCCCCTCGACATGCCTACACTCAATCACAAAGTCTTGTACATTCCGAAAACAATATTATCTCTTACTTTTCTTCATTTTCATTGTCAGTCCTTCTATATTCAGTTACCATCTTATATATTTATTTTATAGTAGCACTCCTGTGGTAACTAACTTTATGTGTTAACTTGGCTAGGCCGTGGTGAGCAGCTGTTTGACCAAAAACCAGTCTAGATGTTGCTGTGAAGGTATTTTTTAGATGTGATTAACATTTAAATCAGTAGACTTTGAGTAAAGCAGATTACCCTCCATAATGTGTGTGGCCCTTGTTTAATCAGTTGAAAACCTTAAGAGAAAAAACTGAGGTCCCCTGAAAAAGAGGGATTGTGTCTCCAGTCTGCTTTTGGACTCAAGACTGTGACATCAACTCTTACTGGATTTCTAGTCTACTGAACAGTCCTATGGATTTTGGAATTGAAATCTCCCACAATTGCATGAGCCAATTCCTTAAAATAAATCTCTCTCTCTTTCTCTGGTAATCCGTACTAGTACAACCCTAACTAGTTCTCCTCTCTTACTCTCTTCCAATTCATTCTTCATATGCCAACCACTGCCATAAATCTAAACAGATTAATTTCTTCATTAATATACCCCAAAGATCTTAGAGTAAAGGCAACAATTCTTAACATGGTTTACAAAGTCCTGCATATGGCCCCTGTTTTATTTCTCTCTCTCTCACTGCTCTTCCCTTAATCCCCAACAGACAAACTCTAGGAAGCAATCATTGGTCTTCTTTTAAATCCTTAAACATGTTCAATTTCTTTGCTGCCTCAGGACCCTCTCACATTCACTACCTCTACTTGGATGCATTTTCCCTTCACCTAACACCTTCTTATGCTATAGGTACCAACCTAAATATTGTTTCCCATCCTCATGAAAGCCTTCTTGAAACTTGAGACCTAATTAAGGACAACTGTTATCCCCCTTAGAATCCTGTGTATTTTCTTTGGAATACTCAGTGCACTTGTAGTTACAGAATCAGTATTTGTTTTCTCCACAATGCTGGCAGTTTCATATAGACAGCTACAATGTCTTTCTCCTTTCCCTATTTGACATGAATGAAAGAAAAATTAATAAGTGAATGGATGGCTGAATGAAGATTTTGCTCTGGTATGAATCACTGACTCTGCTGCCTTTGAATCTGTTGAATGTCAGGCTGATTCAAGTGATTGAATGTGTCAGATCCTGGTACAACTGTGACAGGATTTTACACAAAACCATCCTCATCACAATTATGCCACTGCCTCAACACTGTTTAACTCAGATTGGTAACTACAATCCCAGCCTAGTTTAGCCTATTTTAGTAAAAGTTTTATAATCACTCTCTTCTGAAGAACATTTATCTCCCTTATGTGTTTGCATGTTTGGAGAGTTAAAAGATCTAGAAACCAAACATTAGTAATAGTAGCAGTAGCAGTAGTAAGAGCATCAGCAATAGGAGCTATAAGATGAGATTGCACCCTAGATTTCAGGTATTATTCATGGTGATTTACAAGATGGAGCCAAACCTCAAGGTCACAAATATCCTCTTAATGTTTTGACTTCTTTTAGAGCATATACTTTCTGTGGAGGAACTCTTTGAGAATATTTCACCACTAAAGGACTTTCATTTGACTCCGACACATCCCATTCTAGCCAACTCTTTGTCTTCAAAGTAAGTATGGAGACTTCTACATTGGGATATATCAGGCTAACCTGTGCTAGACTAATTTTATGCCACAAAGTAAATAAGAAGGTGGATAAATATCTTTAAATGTTTGAAGGCATAGACTTCTGGTTCCATTGAAGATGAAGCAGATCCATTCCTCTAGGTCCTCCTGATCGTTACTGAAATCATCCCTAGATGTGACACAACAAACAAGCATAGGAAGACTCTGAAAGAAGGAAGAAGAAGGCAGACTCCTAGAACATGGGACCCGAGGAACCACATAGCAATGAGTCCCTGAGTTTTCTTATTGCTTCTATATATCCTGCACAGGGTGCTGCAGAAGCCTCCAAACCAGAACCACCAAAAGCTACAAAAAGAGCTCTAAGAAAAGCCTGTTCCTTCTAGCCAAATAATTGGGGAAAGGGTGGTCTTAACAGAACACAAAACCTTTTGGCACTACCTGCCCTATTCCAGACAAACACCAGTGCAAAAGTCATACCTCTCTCCCTCCCCCAGATTTCAATGAGGCCAAGTAGGGAGCTTGGCCTCATTGGATGGTGGTCCATCCACCCTCTCATTCCTCAGCCAGGCTGGTGTCTGTGGGGTCTAGTGAGGAAACGAGCCTCCACTGTCATTTGGAAGCAATGAGACTTACTGAGGGAGCGTGAGCTGGAGCTAATTATACTCTGCTCTCCTCTACTCCAACCCTATTTGTGAGTGCTCCAGTGGGAAGTTGAGCTTCCACATCTACCCTGTAACAACTAAGCAGTGTGAACAGCCTTACACTTCCTCCTTCCCTAGAGCCAGTGTGGCCAAACAAGGACCTGAGCTTTCTTGGAAGCAAGGAGGCATGGAAGTCCCATTATCACTGAGAAGGAGCCAACAGGGCAGAGGGCAGAATTGATCTTCCATCTCACTCATCTGGAAGGAGGCAGTGTGAGTCATCACTCTATTTTTTCCAGAGTTGTGTCAATAGTGCTGAGCAGGAAGCTGAACATCTACACTCATCTGGTGGTTGCAGCAACACTCAACAGGGGAACCCCCTCCTTAAAAAATCATTGAATGTGATCCAGAGTCTCATAACATAATATCCTATAGGTCTATGATACAATTGAAAACACTTTGTCATATCAAGAACCAGAAAAATCACAACTTGAATGAGAAAAGACAATATATGCTGATACCAAGATGAATGGGATGTTCAAATTATCTGACAAAGATTTTAAAGCAGCCATCAAACAAATACGTCAACAAGCTATCATTACTTTTCTTGATATTACTGAAAAAAAGAAAATTTCAGCAAAAAAATAGGTTATAAAAAATAACTAAAAGTGATAGAACTGAAAAATATAATCACTGAATTAAAAAATAAAACAACTTTCTGGATGGGCTCAACAGTCAAGCAGAAATGATAGATGATAGAATAAGTGAACTTGAATAAAGATAAATAGAAATGCCTGATCGGGGCTGGCCCTGTGGCCGAGTGGTTAAGTTTGCGCGCTCCGCTGCAGGCGGCCCAGTGTTTTGTAGGTTCGAATCCTGGGCGCGGACATGGCACTGCTCGTCAGACCACGCTGAGGCAGCGTCCCACATGCCACAACTAGAGGAACCCACAACGAAGAATACACAACTATGTACCGGGGGGCTTTGGGGAGAAAAAGGAAAGAATAAAATCTTTAAAAAAAAAGAAATGCCTGATCTAAACAAAAATAAAATAAATTGAAAAAAAGAACAGAACTACATGGGTTTGTGGGATAATAAAAAATGAACTAACATTCATAAAATGGGAGTCCCAGAAGAGGAGGAGAAAGAAAGGGGGACTGAGTAAGTATTTAAAGAAATGGAGGCTGAAAACTTCCCAAATTGTATGAAAGACATAGAGCTACAGATTCAGGAAGCTCAGCAAACTTCAAGCAGGATAAACCCAAAGAGATACATAGCAAGACACAGCATAATTAAAATTCTAACAAGTTAAAACAAAAAAAAATTTTGAAAGCACCCAGAGAGAAAGGACTCATTATTTATTTGAAAAAGTAATGTAAACGACAAATTTCTCATGAAACCATGAAGGCCAGAAGGAAGTGGCACAATATTTTTCAAGCACTAAAAGCAAAGAATTTGCAAATGTAAATTCTATATTTGGCACAAATAGCGTTCAAGAATGAAGGAGAAATAAATACATTTCTGATGAAAGAAAGCTAAGAGAACTTTTTGCCAACAAATCTACCTTTAAGTAATAGCAAAAGGAAGTTCTGTAAACAGAAAGTAAATAAGAAAAAGAAGATTTGGAACTTCAGTAGTTAAAATATACACAGTACAGAATGACTTTTTTAAATTGAGTTCATAATAGTTTACATCAATGTG